CCCCGGCCAGTCTGCGCACAGCGGCTGCTGTGTGCAAGGGGCACTGGCACGGGCCGGCTGGCCGCTCACCTCAGAAGGCTTCTGTGTGCGGAGGGAAGGGTGTCCCGGGGGCAGCGCGTCCTCCGCTCGATGTCCCCAAAGGCCCTCGTCACCTTTTCAACCTGCGCTGGGGTCCGGCCACGCTGGTGGTGGCAAGGTGGGGGGCTGTGCCTCTCGTCCTCGCTGCCCACCCTCCTCGAGTCAGGAGCAAGGGAACGTCTCGAGCGCTCGGCGAGATGCAGGGCTGCAGCTCTGACTGCCCGTGCTGTCAGCTCCAGGCGGTCTCCTGGCCACAGGGAAGCATGGCCCCCAGTCGCCATCCCTGGCCCCTGCCACGGGGGCTGGGGAGGAGCCTTGGGTGCGCAGGACGTGCAGGGCAGTGTGTTCAGCCCATCTCCCAGTCCTGTGCAGCAGGGATGTTCGTCGTGGGCTTTGGGAACAGCGGTGCTGGGAGGAACGTGGACACTGCCTGATCCTGGGTGGCCTTCACAGCTCTGCTGGCACCTGAAGATCTGCAAGGGGACCCTGCCGTGACCGCAGCCCCCAGCTCTCCACAGGAGCCTCGCCCCAGGAGCTCCCACGCAGCAGGCATAGAGCAAGGAGGACACCCTTCCTACAGCCGCTTTTCTTTTATTAGAGGTTACAGGATACGAGGAGCCGGACCTGCACACCACGTGCCTTCAGCTTGCTCTGCCATGCAGCTCTGTGTGACGCGCAGACAGAGACGAGGGGGCCTGGCATAGGCAGGCACCCCCGGGCTAGTCACCCATTGCCCGCAGGGTTTTCCTTGGCAGGCTTCGCGATGGGCACCATTTCTGCTGCGGTGGCTTTGTCCTACCAGCCGTGAGCAAGCGTTGCGGGAGAGGCATGTCTCCAACGGGACAAGAACTGGGACCACGGAGCTGAACCCGCTCCATCGCTCCCCAAGAGAGACCCTGGCTTGGCCCCACACCCCCCTCCAAAGGGGATCAAAACTCGTACGGGGACACAAAGGCTGTGACCTTGAAGATGTGCTTGCCCAGGAGGACCTTGCGGGAGAACTCGCTCATCTCCAGCTCCACTTCCAGCGTGGCTGGCCCCGCTATGGGGCTGGTGAGCACCAGCTCTCCTGTCTGCCGGTCAGAACGCCGCACGGCGAAGACTCCCTGGCCCCGGCTGCCCAGGATGGAGAAGCGCAGGCTGTCGCTGACGAAGCGGGTGGTGGACATCGTGAAGAGGACGTGGGGCACAGTGCGGTTGGCCTGGAGCGGCAGGTAGTGGAAGGAGATGGAGGTGGCGGCCAGGCGGCAGGCTCGGCTCTCCATGGGGCAGGGGTTCCTCTCGCACTGGCTGCCGGGAGGGAAGGGGTACCATCGCTCAGTGCCACGGTGTGGCTCTCAGGGAGCTGCCCGCAGCCTTGCAAACAAGCCTAGCCCGCGCCGCGGGCATCGTCTCCAGCCCCACTGCCGGTCCTGCAGCACGGGAAATGGCCCTCGGGGGGCTCCCCGCGGCTTTGCAAACAAGCCTAGCCCACGCCGCGGGCATCGTCTCCAGCCCCACTGCCGGTCCTGCAGCACAGCAACCGGAGGCAGCCACATCCGAGCGTTCCCGGCATCGGATCTCTGTCCCATCCCTGCCTCTGCCAGGCAAATGCCGTGCCTCGCAGGGATGCAGCTCTGGGTCACGCTTCGAGGCCACGACTGGGGCTGCCACAGTCCCAGCTGGAGGCCACGGATGGAGCCGGGCTCAGATGTGCCTCCCGCAGGGAAACTTGTCCAGAGCGGGGATGCGTCTCTGCTCGGGTGCCTTGTGCTCAGCCTCAAAGCGGGACCAGGAGGATGGCAGCTGACAGCACTGCATGGATGTGCAGCGGAGGGGAAAGGGCTTTTGCCGGGCTCAGATGTGCCTCCCGCAGGGAAACTTGTCCAGAGCGGGGATGCGTCTCTGCTCGGGTGCCTTGTGCTCAGCCTCAAAGCGGGACCAGGAGGATGGCAGCTGACAGCACTGCATGGATGTGCAGCGGAGGGGAAATGGCTTTGTTCCCCCCAGGCCAGGGCTCTGGGGGGCCAGGATCCTGGATCAAGCCACTACGTATTGGGGTGCTCCCACCCGCACCCCAGCCGGCATGCTGAGAACATCGAGGAGCGCGCCAAGCACACCTGGGCACCCCACACAGCAATTTGCTGCTGGTGCTGGCTGGCCCCC